CCCGAATTAAAATGAATAATATTCCTAGCTGGTGTTCGTTTAGATAATTTTGGTAATTGTCCTGACCATTTATGGCTATTCTTACCCACTAAATTGATTTCAGCAAGTTGTATTATACATGTATATTGCGTTTTTGGAGATATATTTTTATTTGACCGTACCTTTTTGGCTAACTTGTCAGCTTCTTCGTCTAAAGAGNGTCCAAATTTCGATGGGTTTGCAGGGTATCTCAGTTATTATGAAAGATAGAAAGTTGCGGCTTTCGCGAACCTGAGCTACTTTTTTGTGAAACTTACAATGGCGCAAACCAAATTTTCATAGCCCTCTTCGTTTTTGATATACAGGGAGTGTTTGAAATTTACGATTTTCAGACACCTCCTGTATCTCGGCTATTCGGAAACGTAAAAACGGGTTCTAATAGATTTTTTCACGTAGAAAATTTGGTTTGCGCCATTGTAAGTTTCACAAAAAAGTAGCTCAGGTTCGCGAAAGCCGCAACTTTCTATCTTTCATAATAACTGAGATACCCTGCAACCCCATCGAAATTTAGACACCCTGTACAATTCTCTAACGTTACAAATTTTTCTGTTGGTTATGGACACTACGTAAATACTGGACTTCCGTAAAATTTACGACTGAAGTCTAGAATAACCGGCAACGCAATAGAATTTGTAACAAACGCACTCACCACTAGTTAACTAAAAACTGTTGAGAAAGGTACTGAAGCACACAAAGTCTTGAGTGATACAAGAGTAAGCGAAATTTTACGAAATAAAACGAGCGTTGTAAAATTTACGAGTGTCCAGTAATCTAGGATTAAAGTATTACTAATCCAATTTTTTAGTATTAATCAAATAGTCCATATATATAATAGCCCATATTTTTTGATAAAAGAATGGTCTAGACAGAAGCCGCATAATCATTATGTGGGAACTGGACGTTGTGTGAGAAAATAAGACAAACACAGTAAATCAATATTTAGTTGGATTTAGGGGAATTTGATCCTACAGATCGGACATTCCTGATTTGGGAATCGCCCTCGATCCCGTTTTGATATTTTTCCGTGTTTCATTGTTTTCTTGTTCACTTTCATTTTGGTCTTCATTTTGAGATAACTCATAAATCTGATTTTCATTTAGTTCTATTGTTTGTCCTTCTTCTTCTTCTTCTTCTGATGTTACTTCATTCAAATAGTCTTTCCATGGTTTCATGAAATCCATAGCGGTTGAAGTCTTCCTTGGTCCTTCTGTCATACCAACTCTCTCGACGTCATATCGATCATGGTTTTTAACGGTTACAATCTTGTAAGGTCCCAAGAATTTTGATTTAAACTTAACACAATTTATGAATTGGGTTCGTTTTATAGCGATGAGATCACCACACTTGGTACTGTGTTGAAGATTTTCTCTTTCTATTAAATTGTCTCCTGTTTTCGTGTTGGATCGTTTTCGAGTATGTTTTCCTTTGCTAATTTTCTTGTTTCTTCTCGTGTTTCCACAAACAAAAGTTTGTAGGTATTCATACTCAATTATTTCCTTCAATCTGATATCGTCTTTGTGTTTCAGAGGTACTCCAAATAGGATTTCACCTCGACTAGTTCGAATATTTCTCTGGTACAGTTAATTTAGTTGATATCGGTATTATTATACGGTTGATTCTCTCAACTTGTCCATTGGCTCTTGGAACACTGCTAGTTATGTGAGTTATGTAAATATCATCTTCTGTTGTTCCAATTTGTTAATAGTTTCTTCCTTGGTAATAGTTTTGGTAGGGTATAGACACAAAAATTTGGTAAACTATCAATGATTACCAGCAAATATTTGTAGCCCTTAGCCGTGGTTTTAAGTCCTAGATGGTCCATATGATAAGTTTGTAATGGAATTTTCTCCTTTGGGATTGGGTTTAAAAAACCTTCTTGCTTTCCGTATTTTCGCTCAGCTAGGATACATCTAATGCAGTTTTTAATACATTGTTCAATTCTCGATTTAAGTTTTGGAATGCAAAAATTACGTAAAATCATATCCTCAGTTTTTCTGATGGAAAAGTGCCCGTTACCCTCATGTGTTCTCCTTACTTAGTACCTTATTTGTACAGGCTTGTCTTCAGGCGTAACTTCGAAAACCTCTCTACGAATTGCTTCAATACCTTTTTCGTTATTAATATTATACGTTTTTTTGATCGACGCCATCGTAAACCTAAAATTTATGATCACTTCTTTACAAGTTCAAAAAAATTGTATTTAAAAGACATCCATTATATTTTACACTCCTTTTCACATTGTATAGAAGGAATTTACTTGCAGAATAAGTCGCGCCAGATCTTATTAGCGAATTGTTCACAATTTTACACGACACTACAAACTCGTAAGAACGTGGAAAATGCACTGTTGGATCCCCTATAGAAATCATGAAGGTAACAGGAGTGGGAACCGTACAGGTTCCAAGATGCAATAGTTAGTCTAGGGAAACAGTCTACGTCATCTCTTAGATGACACGCGGCTATTGTAGTGTTAAGATGATTTTTGTTTGAAGTTCCGTATCAAATAGGTACTTTATTTTCCACAGGATCATAATCTCTCTTTAAACGTAATATTTGGTCTACAATGTCCTTTTCCTTAACATGATCCAAATTTAAATCGCAATAAATTTGAAACATATTCGCTTCTTCGTCATTTTCCGAGTTTCCTAATTTTTCTTCTTCAGTTTCAACTTTCTTTACTACAATTGTCGGGCTTCCTTAAACAAAACACCTCCCAAAATTACTGGAATTTTTAAAGCACTATCTTGAATAATAATAAGGTAGCTATTAGTTTCTCCATGTTCATCTTTGATGGATTAATAGAGGAATTTAGATGTAAAGATGAAAATTTATTAAATGTTCAGGATCAGTGCTACATATGTTTCGACTCACAGCAAAGTCGTCATCAGGCACGACGTCAGATGGGTTTACAGAAGAAGGATATATATTGATCTCATTACAAATATTAATGTTTAAACAAAATTATCTCGTATTTAAACGATCCAACTAGATGTTACGGCACTATAAATTAATGGAAAGTATTTTTTTTTTCTTCGAATAGTCAGATATTAGATCACAAGTCAAACACGATGTGAAAACACATCGTGTTCGTCTTAATTTTTTTTTCTATCGTCTTCTTATATCTTCTTTTTATATCTTCTTGACAAATGTCCTACAATTTTGAAGAAATTCTTTCAAAACGATATGTCAGAACCTATGCTTTATTTTATTCACAGTCAGGCGTCGATGTTTCAAAAAATTACTCTACAAATTGAAGGAGATAAAATTTCAGCAGCAGAAGTTTGTATTATATTAAACGATTTCATACTGCAATGTAAATCAAGATTTAAAGATGGATTTTTACCACTAATTCTAAAGAATAAACTGACCGTTTTGGAAGATTCCAATCCCAGAATAAAAAATTAATTTTTAAAAAAAGTTAAAAATTTTTATAAAATTTGCTATGAATATATCGAAGAATGGATAGTGAACTTTAGAGCATTAAATTGTTTCAAATGGACCTTTCTAAATAGTAAAATTGAATGGAAAGAAGTTTCTTCAGCAGTCGAATTTGTAATGAAGGAAGTAAAAGATATTGTTATTAATGACAATTTTCCCTTTGAAGAAATTCGAAGAGTAAATTTATATTTAAATGAAGAAAAATTGAAGAAATGGAACGATGAGAAAATAGAACTTGACAAAAGATGGGTAGAAATCTTTCGGCATTTTAGAGTAGAACATATCCTACATGAAAATTTAAAAGTTTTAATAGAAATTTCCTTATGTTGTCCAGGGACTAATGCTGCTGTTGAAAGGGTATTTTCACTAGGTAATGATTATTGGAGCAGTGAGAAGTCGCAACTTTCTGTAAAAACATTATCTGCCGTCTTAACAGTCAAATTTAATATGCAAAATGAAAGATTAACATGTTTTTAAAAGAAAATAAAGCTTTTATCGTTTTTTCTTCTTTTTTTTTTCACCTATGAAATACTTGCAAAGTGTACTCTTTTTGAACAAAAAATAGTTGGTCACCTTAACAACAAGCATTTTTGTTTTATATTCATCGCCATTAATCTTCATACATGTCGTACAGCTTTCAAATGATCTAGTTGTTATAGTCCCCAATCCAAGCAGTTCAACCCCCAAAATTTGTGGGTGACCATAAAACACACACAGTAAATCAATACTTAGTTCTTTACTAACTTAATCTCAAAATACACCACTTTGGTCAAAAACGAACGTCTCTCCCTCATCGGTAGTTACGCACTTCTCACTCTCACATACAATACTCGCGTCCCCTCTACCTCCGCTCTCTTCTACTTCTTAACCCGTATTTAGGGGAATTTGATCCTACATATATATTTCCTATCTTCTAACTGGAGTTCTTCCTCGACTGCGCCATGTTATAATAGTGAGTCACACAATTATGAATATATTATATCTTTATTGACTATTAACTCTTTACGGTTTTTACATCAAATACACACGCTATGTTGCTTTTATGCGATCTTTAAGCAACTAATCGTACATCTTTATGTCATCAACTGTAGGAATACAATATGTCTTTATACATTTTATTTTGTAGTGGAAATTTGCGACCCATTTTATATCTTTTGTATCTACAGAACATCAATGTAGTATTAATAGATTTAGGAAGCGCAAAGTTCATTATCCAATCTGTCCTACGTCGAGTTGGCATTGACAACGTTGTTTTTTAATAAAAAGAAGAAATGGTACTGCGTAATCGTATTAGCTTCTTTTTCGAATTTTTCCGCTTCGCAGCCCTTTAAACTTTTGAAATTACCTTTTCCACATTTAGTTAGATGATTAGTTAAGAGCATATCCTCCGTGCACTGACAGTGTCCTCCGACGCAAATCGATCCATTAAATTCGCATTACACCGATCCCCAAACATTTTCGTACCAATTATTGTGCCATCTAAAACGGGATAAAAACAAATTTCTTATTTTATTTTATTTTTATTACAATCTTGATCATAACATTTTAATAATCAATCAATTAAGATTAAGATGATTTTTAACCTTATTTAAAAATTCGTACCAATTAATAACCGAATCACTATTAGCTCTAAAACATTTAAAAAAATTAGCAGCCGTCGAATTGAACCCGGATGATGTGATATAATCGCAATGATTAATAATACGGTCGATGGTAATCTTTTTTTCATGGTCTTCGGGGACGAAACGTTTCATTTGGTCCATTTTTAACTGGTTGTTGATGTCGGAGAAATTCATTTTTTGGAAGAAACACGTTAGATATTGGCGAAAGTTAGTCGATTCAATCGGTTTCCCCTCCAAAGCTTTCGTAATTTCATTCAGAACCGCTGCGTCAGAACTTAAAGCACACAAATAATGAGCTGAGGACATTTGTTGCTCACCAAGGAGTTGAGATGATGATGAATTCTTAAAGAAATCGATTATTTAATACATATTAAAAGATTTTTTTGTTAACTTACAATTAAATAAGAAAATAATACGGTTAAAATAACAAACGTCTTCATTGTTTCGGTTTTGAAGCGAAATTATCAAATTTAACCCAACAGATAGCGATAATTATTTTCAATGTTAGAGGTCATATTTATTGAAGATAGCATTAAACACTTAAACGTCTATTAAAGTCCTTTTTTTTTGTAAACCTCTATGTATAAAATATGTTTGGGATTCATGTTGCAAGTTTTAAATTTAAAATTTAAACTATATAAAAAACTTCTTACTTGCTTAATATCAATTTATTCGGAACCGGTTTCGAGCTTAGCCCATCATCAGCCGAATCTACGTAAAAGTAATTACATTATGATCAACTAAATGTAATGAAAAACATAATAAAAGTATTACAATCATAAACTTACTATCAAATAGTTAAAAAGAAACCCACGACGTCATTAAAACAAAAATTATGAAAAGAATACATATTGAAATATATCAATCAATAATGATGTATGTTATTGTGAATAATTAAAGTTAAAAACATAGTGTATAAACGAGTGTACACAGTGTATGACGATGTTTTTTGTATATGGGATGGAGACTCTTCCATAACTATATTAATCAGCTACACCCTAATCTGAATTTCACTTTGGAAATAGAAAAAAACAAAACACTTAATTTTCTCGACTTACAACTTAAGAATATAAATAATAAGATCTGTTTTGATATCTTTCGAAAACCGTCTAATGTCAATACTACAATTCCATATGACTCCTCTCATCCTTTATCCCATAAATTGGCGAACTTCCGTTTTTTATTCAATAGAGCCCTCAACTACCCACTTTCAGAAGAAGATAGAACAAAAGAATTTACCTACATTTATAAACTTGCCATGGTCAATAACTTTCCAAATAAAATTATTAATAAACTCCTATACAAAATTAAACTTCAGAAAGATCCATTATACTTAAAATGTACAGAACCTAAGATTTACAAACCTATTCCTTTCAGTAATATTACATTACAATCCAAAAATATTTCTTCTAAGTATATCATTGGCTTTTTCTAATAATAATTCTATTCTGAAATTACTCTCAAATTGTCATATGGAGAAGATAGACACTCTTGACAAATGCGGTGTTTATTCTATAGAATGTTCTAACTGTGATGGAATATACATAGGACAAACAGGAAGAAGATTAGGCATACGAATACAAGAACACAAGAATAAATATAATTCAAATGTCTACAGACATCACTCTGACACTGGACACATAATAAATTACAATAATGTTAAAATCACTCATCAATGTAGTAAAGCCGCAAAAATGGACTTACTAGAACAATATGAAATTTATAAATTCAAGAGAAAAAAAGAACACACATTATTGAATGAACAAATCGACATTGAATATAATTTTTATATATAATATTTTATTTAAATAATAGAATATATTTTTTATTTATTTAAATATTTAAAAGATTCTCTTATATAGTGCGAATTTTGTTATTTATTGGTTATATTTTTTATTGTCTGTAATTTTTCTTAAAAATTCATGTCGTTTTCGTTTAGGTTCTTGTATCCGGTTTTATTTTTCTGTTTCATAGTCGTTCTTCTCGTGCTCATGTCAAGTTTTGTTTCGTGCGTTTCGTTCTTTTTTTTTTATTTATACATTGTGTTTTTAACTTTAATTGTTCACAATAACATACATTGATTATTGATTACATATTTCAATATGTATTCTTTTCATAATTTTTGTTTTAATGACGTCGTGGGTTTCTTTTTAACTATTTGACAGTAAGTTTTTGATTGTAATACTTTTATTATGTTTTTCATTATATTTAATTGATCATAATGTAATTACTTTTACGTAGATTCGGCTGATGATGGGCTAAGCTCGAAACCGGTTCGAATAAATTGATATTAAGCAAGTAAGAAGGTTTTTATATAGTTTAAATTCTATGTATAAAGTTTGCATGGCGATGTGCAATTTTAGAAACTGCGTGCGACCCAGTTTTTTGTTTTTCTTGTACTAAGAACGAATCGATCTAGTTAACGTGATGGTTTCTCGTTTTATCAGAAATTATTACATCGATTTTATACAAAAAAATATATAATAACGAGTTAAATAGAAACTACTACTTCTATTCTTATGGATTTTAACTTTTGGTTCTTTTCCTTGGGCAGCCGTTTATAGGATATGTACTATTCCGCTTTATCTTCCTTTTATTATCCTCGAATGAGCAAAAAAAAAAGAATATGGGGGACGCTTATTTATTATTTCTCCATGCCAAAGAAATCTTTTAAAAACGAACAAAAAGATATAACAAGAATGTTGGAATTGTTTGCTAAAACATCGTAGAATTAATTATATTTTAAATAGAGTTACATCCCTTGATAATTTGTAGAACAAAGATGAATGCAACAGAAAGTTACAGTTGTTAATGGTAACACTCGGGAATCGGAGCATGCTATAAAAAAACTTTTAGAACAAAATTTGTAGCAAATTTTGTTCTTAACAATATTGCTCTCACTTTTTCTGTCGGATACGTCAGTATTCACCCTTTTAGTCATCTCCCTTACATGCGCCGCGTTCTTTCATCTCCCCTCTTTGCAGAACTTCATCATCTTTGTCTTTGCTACATTCACCTCCAACTCTTCGTCCTGAAATACCTCTTCAAATGTCTCACCATTCCTCTCATTTCCGCCGCATCTTTTGCAATAACCACCACGTCATTCGCTAGCATGTGAACCTTTCTCCCTTATACCACCACTCCCCCCATTTGCCCCTTCTCCAGCTTGCCTTCCAAACCCACCATATACTAGTGATGGGCATAATCGGAGCCTACGATATTCCAGGCCGTACTGTGATGGTGGGGGTTCGGGGTATAAACTACTTAAAAAGACGTTCATCGTTCTACGTGGATAGAAAAAAATATTTGTTTTTATGTGGCATTAAATTTTCTTACTTTCCTACTATTTTCTGCAAAATTTTATTATTTATGATTTTTGTATAATTATTTAAAAATAGCACAAAACCGATGTAAAAAAATTACAAAGAAATGAAGATTCAACATAACCCAATCTCCTCAATAGGATATCATGAAAATTAGTTTGCAATATCTTTCCCGTGGAAGTTATTGGTTGTGCATTCGTAACAGCGTGTTGGACACCACGAATTAAGGGGATGATAATGGACAACGTTATATATTTTTCTCCCGACAACTCGGAAGTCATAGCTTCAATAGGTTTTAAAATACATATGCAGTCTTTAATTAGTGCCCAGTTTTCCGACGACAAAAGTGAACGTGATCCGGGAAGATTGGACATTGCTGCTGACAACGGAACTTTTAATTCCTCTAATCTTTGCATCATCGCCAAGCAAGAATTCCATCTTGTTGAAACGTCCTGTTTCACTTTTAGCAGAGGAAGTTTCATTTGATCCTGCATGTTGGCCAGTTCACCAGATGCTACAGTGCTTCTTTTAAAGTGTCCCACAATATTTTTGCATTTCTCGAGCAATTGCTGTAGATCTGCATGTTTGAGGGTGTCCATGGTACATAGGTTCAGCGTATGTGCTATGCAGGGTTGGTGAGTCTTATTGAGATGAACAGTGATAGCGTTTTTCATATTTGATGCGTTATCTGTTACAATACAGTGAACTTTTTCAAAGATATCCCAACTTTCAAAAACTTCGCGAAGTGCACTGGTAACATTTCCTGCTGAATGACGATCAACCAATGATGTTTTGTTTCCAGTAGGTAACTGTTCAATTGGCTTCCGTTTATATAATGAGCAGTAACTGCCAAAAATGCTTTCGTAGATGATGATGTCCATATATCTGTTGTTATAGACAAATTTGACGACAAACTCAACTCATTTTTTACCTTACTCAACGTCGCTGTATATATATATATATTTGGTATCAGGGAAGTTGTAATTTTTTTTCGACTTGGTAAGTCGTAATGCGGATTAAGTTTATTTGTATATTTCATGAACCCCTTATTTTCAACAATGGATAAGGGCTCAAAATCAGAAACTATCATTTCAACTAAACTTTGATCTATTTCGGTTTGCTCATTTTCTGAAATCTTATATGTTTGTGTTTTTCCGTAAAGAGCAAGTTGACGTTTACGTTTGGAAGGCGGTGGTGTATTATAGAATGTTGTGAGGAAGTTTCAGTTGTGGAAGTTGACGGGAGTGTACTTCGAATTTCTTCGCATGATGTATCTTCAGAAGGTTTAGATTTTTGTAATAATAAGGCTGGGTGCTTTCGTTTTAGGTGTTCACTTAAATTTGTAGTATTGCCAAAGAATTTAAACTCTCGCTTACATTTACTACACATTGAGACATCTCCTCTTCGTACAAACTGATCCCAGACGAAGGATCTCTTTGCAGTTTGTCGCGGCATATCATTAAATCTTAATAAACACAGAACAATACACAAACACTTGACCTGGTTGTAAAACAACACAACAATACTGCCGAGTAGTTTGTGCTCGAGAGAACGACGAACCCGACGAACGTAGTTCGGGTAGGGGTGTGCACGTGTATACAGCGTGTTCCGTATCTTCCGCATCAGAGCATTATACGGTTGTAGAATACATTATTCTGAAGCGATCTTTCTAATAAAATTTTTTCGAAATGTTTATAATAACCGCACGGGAACTGTTTAACGACGACCAATAACGGACGACTTTGATTCATCGAAAAAGTTTATTTCTCTTTCCATGACGAATCTATTGGTGAGTACACGTGGGAAACGAGTTATCATCGGCGGACCGGCCGAGGGTGGCACCGATTACCTGAGTCTGAGTTACGATCTGCTGATTGGACGAAAAACAGTTCCTTTAAACAGTTCCCGTGCGGTTATTATAAACATTTCGAAAAAATTTTATTAGAAAGATCGCTTCAGAATAATGTATCCTACAACCGTATAATGCTCTGATGCGGAAGATACGGGACACGCTGTATACATCGAGTTTCAAAGAATTCGGTAAATCCAAGAAATAGACCTCTGAAGTAGTAATACCGTAAATATTTTAGATAGAATTTTATTTCAACTTTCATCATCGAATGAAAAAATAATCGAATGGAAAAACAATCGACTATT